ACACACACATCTCACATAACAGTCTCTCTCCACTAGATGTTGCCCCATTAAAGCCAGCTACTTAGGTGTTAGTTTGTTGCTTATAGTACGACTGACATCATACACCATGAGTGTGTGCGTGTGTGTGGGGAATTTGTGAGAAAGACTGTTTGGTTGCAGCTATTAGGCTAATCTCCAACTCCAGCCCAATTGTCACACATACACACTTGCAAGCAAAGCCTCTACCTTTTTCCCAGCTTGCAGGAGTGCCAACAGTCAAGGGCAAAACACACACAAACACACACGCACACAATAGAAATGGTGTGACATCAGTTTCACCGCAAGCTTTGGGATAGCACCTCACACTGCTCTGCCAAAGCCTCTCTCAGGAGTCTCTGTCAGGCTAAAGGTGTGCGATGGCAGCGTGCGTGTGTGTGTGTGTGTGTAGTCAGTTTGTGCACAGAGTAAATGGTGTTACACCATTCACATCATCATTTAGTGGATCAGAGATAACAAAGATAACAAGTGTGTGTTGTGTAGATGGAGATACACCCGTATAAATGATAAATGACTTCAACGCTGTGTAAGGTCAAACTGTTTTTCTTTCTGTGCTTTAATGAGATTAATCAAGACAATTAGGTCCTTTGCAGATACAGAGAGAGGTTACAGTGTCATTCTCTGAAAAACTAAATCCTGAAATACAAATCTTTTCCAAGCTCTCTATTGTTGTGTTTATATGCCTCAAATATAAAATCACTTTTCAACAAATACAATAAAAAGTGAGAGGAAACACAAATCCCCCTGAGGGCAGCTTAGAGACTGGAGATTAAGTGCTTATGAGCTTTCATGAATATTTGCGTGCTGAAAAAGTCAAAATATTTCCCCCCCAAATGAGATACTGTGCTTAGTGTCTGGTTTTGGTCCATCTGAGGTCTTGTTTTTTCTCTGACTGACCAGTTAATGTGACCCCCACATTTCAAGTAAACAAAAACAGGCACACAGTTAAGATGGCTTGAAACAATTCAGACATTTATCATCACTCTTTCCTCGTACAGTGTCAGTCAGGTGTTTGCACTTACAAAAAGAAAAATCTTCTTTAGGTTATCATCTGGAACAGGGATAAAAAATACACTTGAAAAATCAAAAATGTTAGGACGTATGGCTAAAGCTAAGGAGCAGCGTGGTTCATCTGTTGGTTTCTGCTCTCATTTCGTATAGTCATCTTCCTACTTCATGGTCAGCCACACCTGTAAAGTAAAATAAGTAATCAATCTTTTTACGTTTATCTCAGAATAAAAGCTAGTTCGCCAACTAAAAGAGGTGGCAGAAGGGGATGTGTTCAAGGTCAGATCGGTTGAGGGACTTTTGAGAAAAGATTACTAAAACGTTATCATGATGTACTCAAATAGTGTGTCGAGAAAAAGGAAATGTCCGTTTTGGGTGTTTGGCGGTGATATATAATTACTTTCCAACCAATGTTGTTAAAGAGTCTCAATAGTGGTATCATTATCAATAAATGAAGTGACAACCCCCATTCCCAGTTGTTTTTATAAACAGCCTTTTACATGTTTTGTAATTAAATTGGTGTTGACAGCTATTACTTTTCTTTATTATCCTTGTAAAGTAAATACATCACTTGTTTTCATGTTACTTATGAGTTGACTTTCGATATGATTTGATATGATAGCTTGTCATACAATATGATACAATATAATAGAATTCAATGAGATGAGGTACAATAGTTTACAGTATGATGCAGTAGGATAAAGTTCATTGATAACAACTTCACATTTGTACAGCAGTTGTCTGGTGACAGATCTAGATGTATGATTAGCTGAAGGAAACAAAATACACAAAGCAGCTAAAGTGCAGAAAAAAATAGGCTCAACTACAAGTTATCAGAGTGTTAAAGCACTGTATTTTAAATATTCAAGAAAAAAAAACAACAACAAAATCAAAGACTTTTACAAAAAGAAGTCTTTAAAATGACGCATGTTGCTCTGAATTCCCCTGAGCACAGTCACATAATGTTAAACAAGTGTTTATACATATGTACTATTTTCTCAATTACATTATTTTGTCCATCTAATTAAATAATCAACGAACAGCTTTAGGTCCACAAGTTCCCCTCAAGTCAAAGTTGAATAGAGGGTGAATACATATGGAAACATATACATAAAAGCTGCTAGCTTCCCAGATGTGATTAATGAAGTGAAAGTCTCAGTCGACCCCTCTGACCGGCACCCAGGCCGTTATAGGACCACAGCTAGAGCCTGAGGCAGTGTGCATGTTTGTGTGTGTTAATGGCCAAATGAGTGAGAGAGCTCGGTGTGTGTGCATGTGTGTTTTACTGCCTGTGTTTATGCATATGTATATGTTCATACTGGGCATGCAAATGTGTGTGTGTGTGTGTGCGTGCGTGCGTGCGTGCGTGTGTGTGTGTGTGCACTCAAAGCAATATACCCCGAGGCGGTGACAGACGGACTCTAAACCACGTTACCCACACACCCCACTGCCTCGCTTAATAGTGCATGAGATAAGAACATTTGGACTTCAAAATGCCCCCATCACCAACACCACCATCAACACCCCCCCTCCCCCTCCTCCATGGGAAATTGAGTTTTATGGCACCCAAGTTTGGGACAATGGCTACAATGGTCTTGGTGGTTGATAGGGAATTTCCTGTCAACTACTAGAGATGTCCTGGCAGGGCTGACTAGAAAAACCTAACATGACACACTCAGAGGCAAATCAGTGCAGTATGGGTAAATGTGCACACTGTACATACACACAGAGGCAGGCACATGCTGTGTGTGTGTAAACAGACAAACACTGACACAGATGCACAGACAGATACATGAGCACATGGATACCGAGGGATACAAGCTGGGGGAAACGCACACACAGGCAGGGCAAAATAATCAAGATTCATCCATCAAAATATACTGTGTACAAATCATATTGCCTTTCCGTGATATCAGCTGATTTATGCGGCCTATCCGAAGGCCAGATCGTGAAAAACTGAGCTGAGTTCAGTTAATAGTGAGGATATTTTTCCCAACAGAGTTGATAAAAGCTGCAAGCTGCAAGTTTGTGTTTAAAATTACAATCTGCAACAGACTAGATAACACTCAAAAGTTTCTTTTCCATCCCAGGAATCCTGATTTAACCTTCCTCTGCCATTCGTGATGCAAGGTGAATGAGCGTGATAACACAAAGAACGAGCAGAGTAATTCAAAACCCTCTCAAAATGTAATAAATCATCATCATCCCAATACAAGTCCGAGGAAACCTGAGGAGTGAAACCCTCCCGAGCAGCAAACTCTCACAGAGATCAGGTGAACTCATGAGACTCTGCGAGACAGTGACTCAGTCAGGGAGTGATGGAAGCAGTGAGTGCACACCTGCAGAAAGAAGAAGGGCTGATAAATGAGCTATTATGGGCATGAGAAACTATAGTGTCGAGAAACAGGAAGAGAACAGCTATTTACAAAAATGCAACGGGAAGAAGACACTTTAGCACATTTATGCTCAGGCGGATTTGCAGCAGACAGAGAGAGGTGGAGAGTGGGAGGAAGAGGCAGACAGAGAAACATACAGAGAAAGAGAGAGAAATCGAAATGGACACGCAGCCAGCCAGAGAGGCAGCCAGAGATCATGAGAAAATAGTCAGAGGAAGAAGAAGACAGATAGGCATCCCAACTGTGACAGGCACACTGCATTGGTGCAAGGAAACTGATAGTGTAAACACTGACAGATAGCTATTCATGAAACAGAGAGAGAAAGACAGAGGAAGGGGAGAGAAAAAAAGAATAAGTGACAGAGGAGGAAGTCAAAGTAGAGAGTATGAGGGAGACTGATAGAGGCTGTGTAACTCAGCAGGGATTCTTACATTCTTGTCTAAGGGCACAGTCCAACAGAAAAAAACACTCCACATGACAAGGACAACTTGCCTTTCCTCCACACTTTCTTTAGCTCATGAAACAGCCTGTAAACCAGCCTGTCAGCCAACCAGATTACCAGCCGTCCACGCTGTAAAAGATGACGGGAGCAATCCATCAACTTAGTTGGATTAAAGTTTACACAAGGACATTACAAAGGGACTGCGTGAACTCCTGCAGGGACTATACGTCCCAGAATGCACTTTTCGAGGGAGGGATGAGATGTCACTTAGTGTGCTTTTTTTCATAAATGAACTGTTTTTGTTTTTATAAAGTCTAACAATATATATAGATGCTTTTGAGGCTCCTGGGACATATGAGTCAGCTCAAAATGACAGCATATTATCAGCTCGCCAGACTAAGTGAGCAGTGCGTTCCTCCGAGACGAGAATAATGCAGACCCTTGTCGAAAAAAGTCTGGAGTTACTCTTTCAAGTGGATGCAAATTGGTACCTGAACTTTTTTGAGGAGTGGTGTTAACATTTGTGGCTGTCATTGTCAAATTTGCATTTCCCGTCTAGCATCATTTCTGTCAGTGTGGAGCCGAGTGAACTGGCGGTGAACTGAGGAGGAGGCTGGCTTGGGTGCTCTCGCTGTCTTTTGTGGCACGGCAGCATCTCACTGTGCCTGCGTGTGATAGAGAAAATCAGACAGAGAAATTAAGTCAGAGAATGAGATAAAGAGGCAGAAGGGAGGGGGGGGAGGCAAGGGGAGAAGAAAATGGAATAAATTAGAGGGGAGGGAGAGGCAAAAGAGGGGAAGAAATGGAGGGGGAGAAAGAGTAAACACCTATTTGTGAGGCGTCCTTGACTCGACGTGCATTCATTCAGAATATCTGTGTCTGAGTGGCCGCAGTTCACTGTGTCAGCATTACCACACACAGCCGGGGACATCAGAGGGCTCGCTAAGTAGCTGCTAAAGCCGCCTCTGTTTATCTGCATACAAACAACAGCAGCACAGAGACCAGCACTCACACCAGAACACACACGTAAACACACACAGCGGGGGAAAAAGAAGCCCACAATTGAGCTCAGCCCCACTGATGCACTGAACATTTGCACACTCACACATAACTGTCGAGGGCTGGGAGTGGATTATCTACCCAACCCAACTGAAAAGTAGTCTGACTGCAGCACAGGGATTAACTTTGTGTCTGCAAGAATACTCTAAATTAATCTGAATTTAATTTTAGCCGCCAGAACGAGGCCAGTCAGGTTCCTCCAGGCAGCCTGAGGTGGTGATGTGAAGGCAGGTAATTTTTGAAATAAAAGCAAATGAGTCATGTTAATGGACAATTAAGTTTGCATGTGAACATTCTTAATACCCTTTAGGCCAATTAGGGTGTTTGCAGGAGGGCACTTTAATTTGGAAAGAGAGCAAATGAGTCCTGCTAACAAGTTATTAGCCTGAATTTTACATAGTGCTAGTAGACCAGTAAGAGTAGTTATACATAACTGTCCATTGAAGTATGAAGTTGAGTGAATGTTGATTCAGCAGGGATTTTTTTCCCCCCTTTTTAATGGTTATTTTTGACATTTTCTTGTTTCTGGGCAAAGATAGCGTGCAGATAGATTAAGGGGTCACTTGTAAGTCTAGCCTCTGACAGCTATCTGAAAGCCAGCATGGCCTGTCAGTCAAACCGCACAAGCTAACAGGCTAATGCATAATTGAAAGTGTGACTCATGCTTACTCAGCTCATTTCTCGGCTGAAGATAAAGCCTTAACCTTGTCTGGGAATGAACCCGTGTCCATTGTGATTCAGCGCTCGATGTTTAGTCTTAATAGGAGCGGTTTCTTAATGTTAAGGTGTTGTGAACATCGCCACAGGCTACGACAAACACTGTGTGTAGGATGGGTATGCAAGTGTGTTAAGATTATGAGCAAGCCACACACACACACACACACTCATGCATATTACACACAGTTTGAGTCACAGTCTAATTTTATTCAGCAAGGACATTAACAAGTAGCATGAATTTGACCTTGTGAACTGGCACTGGCAACACAGCAAAGCACAGAAGAGCTAACGGCTGATGCATAGTAATTAGATGCATAATAATAAGAGCAGGGCATGACTTGGCCTTATTCAGCCACATTCCCACCAGAGATTACGCATTGACCTCATCTGAAACGATCTGAAAGGAATTATGTCGTCCTTTATTCTCCGCTCAATCTTTTATATTGTCTATAAAAGCCTTGGCTTTAAGTTGCAATCTGGATTTTCCTATGACCTTATACAAATTGGACACATTAGTGAGGGATTACTGCAGGTGAAAAGATGACTTAATGAGCTTACCATATGCTAAAATAGATATTTTTATGTAAATGAGTACGGCACTTATTTCAAAGTGCTTTCAAATTAATTTCAAAACTCCTACTTAACTGATGTGTGCCATGTTGTATAAGTTAGTGGGCCTGTATCCAGCAGTGCTCAGCGTACAGCCTGTATCCAGCATGGAGCTACTACATTATTGCGAGCAGGGCATTTACTTGGGCTTATTCAGCCCATTTCCAGGCACTCAGATTATGCCTGGCGCTGGACTAGAAAATCGTGTCAGTGCAGATACTCTTACAGGAAGGCGGTCATAGTCTGAGGCATAATCTGCCTCCAGGAAGACCAACTCTTCGCATCAACATCAAGGCTATATATGGCATGCCTGTGTACACAGAGATTCCCGGACATGACTGGATCCTGATGCAGAATTGAAAAACAAAGCAAAAAAAAAAGGAAAAGGCAATGTCTGTTCAGTTTGGAGTGATTTTATTTCATGTGTTTGTACCCTCATACTGCTTTATAATTAACATATCAGCAACATTTGCATTTTAGAGGAGATTGGGTTTTGATGTACAGACAGATAAAGGGAAATAGCGATAGGATATGATGTGTCTGTGGTATAATTTATACACTGAAAAGTTTTTCTGAGACTGAGTTAGAGCTCCTGTGAAGAGATTTAGCTGGTTATGAAACAGACTGCTATTCAGTCAGATGTTTCTGCAGCCTTCAAAAGCAAACAAGACCACCATTACTGAAGTAATTAGGTTACTTTTAATGTCTGAAACCGCTGCAGCAGGCTAGGTGTCAAAAAAATGATCAGATACAAGAGCACAGCCAAATTTCCCTTTTACACATTTTCCATGGCGAAGATTCTTGACATTTCCCGCTTGAATGATTGACTGTTCTGTCCACACACAGGGCCAAAACACAAACATAAAGTTCAGGGTTGGTTTGCTGTGTACTGATACCGTCAGTGTCCATATCACAGCCACACAACAGTTAATTTGATATGGAAGAAAATAATACAAGCTAGGGTCACAGACTGCATTCTTACAGAAACATGACTGTCTATGTGTTATCTCTCAAAGGACAGACAGCAATGAGCCAGACAGCACAAAGATCGTCATCGCACATGGTCATCTTGGTCTAAAAAAAGGTAATCTCGTGTTTCTGAATGCAGTATTGTATGTATGTATTCAAAGTAGAGGGGATTGGTGTGATACGGCGACTATGGCAGACACTGGGACAGTTTAGAGTCTGCAGTCTCAGCTAGTGTGAGACATAATCTGACTTATCGACTGATTTATCACACCACATCGAGCTAAGCTCAAAGATATCTCCATCAGAACGGATCTGATTCAGCACTAGTCAACCACAACCCTGACAAGGTGTTAATCTGTAAAAAGAAGAGATAGGACAGATATTAATATTTTGGATTAACCTGCTCGACTATCACTGCCCTAACCGTGGCGAGCATCCAGCACACGATATCACGTAAACACGCACAAAGATATTACTGAAGGTATTCAAGTCAGGACACTTTCTGTCTAACACTGATATGACACCCTACTGTAATCTGACAGCTGGATCTGTAAGAGATTACAACTAATGGCGGTACCTCTATGAAAATAGCTCTGAGCTTCAAATAGCCACATTTGAGAGGATAAGTATTATACTAGTGGGACGGTGTAAAATAAACTTTATATACTGGTTCTATATTTGGGTTTTATTTGAAGTTCCCAAATGGATAGCAAGTCCTTGACTTGAAAAAGGAGAAATCACTATCCTTCACATCACTTGATATGTAAGGACAAATTATGAGATTGTATCGTATCATCTTAAAAAAAAAAAGAGTAGAGAAAGAAGGCATTAAAAAAACAGAAAAAGGAAACTCTAAAGTGACACTTCCAGGGCAGCAGAAGTAGAGTTTTTGCTCATTTACCACATTCCCTTATGGATTCACATCACTGCGCATCCTCAGTCATCCTCCTGCGCTTTTATCCCTTTATGAAATATTTGCTATTTGGCTGTGATCTTTTTTTGTCTCGCAAAGTAAATATTTTTAAATAATTACTGTCAAAATATTACACGTTCTCAGGGAAAATCAGAGGATGCCAGTTTCAAACAGAACAGGAGGCTTTCATTTTCCTGTCAGTTTGCAGACTATGGCTGGCTGCAACTCGAGTCTGTGCTTAAACTGGGCTGTGACTGACAGTTAAAGCAGGTTACTATCTAACGTAGAGACGCCTAACTTCCGAGCTGACAGATTGAGTTTTTAAAAAGAAATGCAGCAACTGTGGAAAGGTGAAACAACATCACTATGGGTGTGTTTATGAGTGGAAAGAGCAGGTAGATACCCTTGTACTATCTTGTTTAATATTTATGTCCAAATCAGACATATTCTGGAAAAAAACTGGACAACATCGCCTTGACTTGGACTGGAAACACTGCAAGATTCTCAATGAAAGTTCAGCTTAAGCCGACATAAATTCAATGTATTCATGGTACATGATTGCTAAGCTGCTTCCTGAACTCAAATTAGAGATGCATCAGGCATATGATGGGAATCATAAAGTAAGTCACAACCAATAGCCGGCCCTTAGAGTAAAGTTTATCATCTATGAAGTGGCTGGCAGTAAAACTACCTTATTAAACGCATTAAGGTGTAACTTCTTTTTTAGTGGCTGCCAGGGCCTAAATAATCTGCATTTACAGAAACTTGCTGCAAAGTCAAGAGTGACGCTCATTCATAAACATGTGCAAAAGTCTGACAATTTGTAACAATGGAAACTAATAAACACAACACAAGAAAAGAGGTGCCCAAAAAGCCAAAATAATAGCATAAACAGCAAATGTACTGCAGATATATAAAAGGATGCAAATTTTGGAGCCACACCATCATATGCGAAAGAAAATCCCTGCAAATGAAGCCATGGCAGCAGAAGTGCTCCAGGCCTCTATTAGTACTCAGTTGTACAGATGTGAACTGTTTTATCCCCAGTTAAACGTCATCTAAATTCAATGACAATTATTGTTTGATGAGAAGATGTGTGGCGTAGTTTAATGACATGGAGTAATGTTAAAATTCCTGCAGCTGCTTGGCTAATTGAGCTCTGTAGCTAAACTAAGCTGCACTTAAAAGCTATCACTGTTCTAGTCAGCACTCTTAACACTGTAATGACCTAATTTACTGCATTTTTCTTCATGTCTGTTTTCTGTTTGTGCATTTTGTCAAGCATGGTTACTTTAAAGGCAGCTGTTTTGTCTTTTTGTCCTCCATTTCCTTATTTGCTGCACATTCCTCATTAAGTTCATACAGATTGGTCAGCCTTATCAGCAGCAGTACTCCTTTTTATACTTAAGTCAGATCAGAATGAAGAGTCCTGTCACATACAAACTTGTGACATATTTTACTCAATTTCTGTTCCTAAATATCTTGGCTATTGATGTTCTGCACATTTGCATCCACACATCAGCTCATTTAGACTTTAACTTTGGGGGGCTGGCAAGAAAAGGTCTGTTTTAAGTATGTCTGCATCACATTCACCACCAGCCACACCCATCCCTGTACCAGGAAAGATGAAAAGAAAGGAGTCACAGGTTTTTACCAGACTGAGGAGGGTCAACCACACACAACATGTTGACAGCCATGGGCAGCTGTCCTAATCCTCCCACTGTGGGAGGATCCACATATTGGAGTGTATGCTCAAGCATTTTGTTCTGTCCTCAAAAGGGTTGAAGGGATAACAGTGTGTGAAGAACGGCAATGAGTCACTGGGTCATTGCTCTTGGCTTTTGTTTCTGAAACAAGTAAACATGGTAGATTGTAGAATTATTTCAGCTCTCTGCAGAACTGTGCATTAAAAACTAAAAAAACGTATTTTTTAAATCCAACTTTTATTTAACCAGAAGAAGTGATTGAGATTTAAAAAAAGTCATACATACAAACATGATACAAGAGGTAAATGTATTACATCTCTAGCTCGGACCAATGAAGCCTTCATATATATGGACAATGAGGTGAATAATACCTGCTCATAATTTAAATCCGACAAAAACAGCACAGTAAAAGGACTGCCTGCATATTAAATGAAACAAATCAAGCACAGATCTGAAAGCTATCACCCAAATGATTTACCGACTTCTTATCAAAACATTAACCATAATTAATCACAGCATTAAAACCCATCAGTGACGGTATCACCTTTAAGCCTCAATATGCAAGCTGGTGTTCATCCTCAAATGACCCATGGGTGGATGGATGTGTGTGTATGTATCTATAAAATGACTGCTTCTTAATCTCTTAACTGCCAGACAATAACAGATTTGTCTGTGATGAAATCCTGGTCTTTACACGTGTCTGTCTGTCTACCGGGACAGTCTGTTTTTGTATGTATGTCTGTGTGTGGCTACTCTGTTATTGTGTGTCCCATGTGGATATTCCTTGTGGATACTGTGTGTGTGTGTGTGTGTGTGTGTGTGTGTGTGTGTGTGTGTGTGTGTGTGGGCAGCAGATTTAGCTTTGATAAAACCCCAGTCTTTAGAGGGATTATCAGTGCAGCCCCAGACAGCAACATGCTGTGCATTTATGGAGGTAATAAGTTGACCTGTGGTAGACAGACAGACAAACAGCTCCATCTCTCCTGAGCTAGTTTTCTCTCAGTGTGTATACCCAAGGAGAAACAGAAAGTTTAACTCCTAAATAGAGTTTAAACCTGTTGACAAAAACAAAAGAAAACTCAGCTCGGGAGCTCTCATCCAGTTAATTCTGATTTGGCGCTTACCTTTTTCGCATTTTCCGACTGATTTGTCATGTTATTGTCTGTGGTTTGCTTTTAAATTCACTGTGATCCCAGAGGGCAAATGTGCAGTCAGCAGAAAAGTCCAGACACACAGCAGAACAACAGAGGACATGAACTTATGCACCCAGACATGAAAACAGTAAATATTGAGCTGAATCACAGAATAGAGTCCTCATCTCTTTCAGAGGCCTAAAATATGATCTGTTCTGTGCTAAAGTGGTGTCTTTTACCCGCATCATTATCCGCCAGCTACTCCTCACATCATTTGAAAATTTCTAATGAGGACTAAATCTCTCAAAGGGTCACACAGTGTTGGATGCAGGTTAAATGGTCTTCAGGCCAAAGTGATAAAAAAATACATATATATTATTTTCAGATGTGACATCTCAGTTGAGGCTACAATTGGCTGTAAAATAAAGGGAGACTCAGGAGGACTGTTTTCCATAAAGTCAAGGTAAGAAATAAAAAAAGACAAGTGTTCTTTCCTGGTGAGGAAATAATATAAAGTGAAAAGAGAAAGAAATGAAAAGCACTATAACACATCTTGTCTGTCTTGTTCTTATAGTTTATTCCGTCTTCTTTCCTCTCCACTTCTCCCTTCTTTTCTTTCTAACCCATCATTTACCCCCCTGTCTCTTCTCCTTACTTCATCTCCCTCTGTTCCCTCTCTATTCCTCCTTCAAAAGCTGTGCCTTGTGCGCAGTCATAAAGAAATAATTTATTCCCGTCCCCCAGTGTGGGCCTGTATTAGAATGCCAGCGGAGCACGTTAACTTATCTCGCGGCTACAGGCACTGAGTGCTAAAACTAAGCTCTGATAGTTTGCAACAGGATGACCACAGAATGCCTGTAGCTCGGAGAATTAGAGCTGTCGTCATGATTAGTAATGGTGGGCCTAATGTTTTACTGCACTGTAATTCACTGTACTCCACTCACAGTGTAGTGGGCTGTGTGATTCTGTGATGCGCACAAAGGGAGCATCAACCCAAATTCAGCTTGTCGAGAAAAGGAAATGATATTATTGCAGTCGTTTGAGTATTTGCTCCTCTTGATCAATTTAGTCAAACTTTCTGTAAAGACACTGAGTACATAAAACATCCAAAATCTGTTTGAGCGGCTGTTCCACTTCTAAGATTCAACTCAGAGTGAATTTGTCCATCTGTCAGAGCTTTCATCGAGCATCAAGCACTACATTTACGCATGCAAAAAAAGTGATCCGAACGTAATGAGGTACAGTGTAAACATACACAGTAGTAGGTCAACAGTGTTTCATGTGCATGTAGTTAATGCTGCAACAACATGTTGGACCCCTACTGTTATCATTAAGTTGTGTGATGAACCAGAAAAAACATTTAGTGTATACATGGATCTATTTGAATGTTTTCTATGAGGGACTTCATGCTGTAATGCCCAGAAGCTAGAAGTTAGCAATGCTAAAACTAAACCTGATAGCTTTCCTGAGGCTGACCACAGGATGTCTGGGAGAATTAGGCTTACAGTAGTGATTAGTTATTCTAGGCCTGATGTTGTCGTCTAATGCAGTTTGCATAACATCTGACCAGTTTATGACATGCAATGCGCTGCAGAAGTATAACTTCAATGGAAGAACACCAACCATAAACTATTGCTGTAGGTTTTGTGTAAATGCTCAATGCTCGAGTGCTTTGCTTTGTAGTCCTAATCAGACTGCAGCAGAAACCAAATGAAGCACTTTATATGAGTGTAATAGCAAATACAGATGGAGGGGAGATTATGGTGACACAGATTTTACTTGTGCATATGCTGCAGTGAAAGAGATGGTGTGAAACCATTGCCCATTTTAATGAGCATCCCAGCTTAGAGGGATATTGAGACTTTGAGAGCTGGAAGATGCCACAGATTGCTGTCCTAATGTTGCCCCAGTGTAACTCACTGGATTAGGACATGAAGCTCAACTCCCACTGGGACATCTGCACTGAATAAAAAACGCATGCTCTCATAAAGCGTCCAGCAAATGGCAAATGTTATGAAAACTGCAGTGTGCTTGATAATAGCATTACAGATAAGCAATGTAATTAAGCTGCATACAGTGGAGAGGACTGTATTGTAGCAGAAACGATGCCTATTAAGAGCTCAGTGCTGGGCCTGTCACTATGATTAGTTATGCTTAAGCTGATGTTTCTGTTTTACTCTCAAGTTCATTAACTTGGTATTGGATTGAATCTGCACAGCACTGTATTATGTGTAGGTAAATAGCAGAGTGAGAGAGTTATAGAGCCCCGAATGATTCCTTATGGACCACATGCAGATGTTCATATAGAAAATGAAAAAAGTAAAGTATCAGCATTCTTGCAGTGGGCTGCTATTCCTATGATTAAAATCAGCCAAAAGTGTGCTTTAGAGTGCAATAATCAGATTTTACTGTGTCCAATATAACATTCACACATGAACATGTACAACAGAAAGAAAAAAAAAACAAGATCAGACTGACATGCTCTCTTGGGTCTCATAAGCTATAATCCAGCTCCTCTGGTTTCTGACACACTCAAAAAGGACAAATTTTCTCTCTCGACATTTCAGCTACTGAACGACCTTTTTCTCTCTTTCTCTTTGCTCTTTTGTATCCTCTGCCACTGCTCACCGTAGACACATGAGTCATCAGTA